GAAGGAGGACTATTGAAGACACTTATAAAGCAAAACCCATGCAAGAGACCAGGTCCTGTGCTACTAGTAATCATTACTTTATGCATGTTTAATGATTATTCCTTTAAGAAGAAAAAAAACAAAAGAATATAAACAGAAACTGATTAACATGAAAAAAGAAATGCTGAAAACAGGATGGATTTTCTGGATCAGGAGTATGATCCTGAAGTGCAATTCAAGAGGGTGAAGGATCTTGATATGCTGCAGTAAGACTCTGGAGAAAGAACTGTATCAACTTCCTAGCTCTGCCACGGCAAGAATGACCTCAGGTATTATTTAATTTCACTGAGGCTTAGTTCTCTGTGTGTAATGCATGATTGTTTTTCTTTGACTTGCAAGATTGTTCTGAGATGTTTTTATCCTATAGAGATGGTGTTCAGAGGAGCAGTTCGGAGAAATTTCTTTTGTTAGAGGAGATGCAGTTACTGGCGAAATGTTGAAAAGGCAAAAATTATGAACATTTCAAATCTACCAAGCCCTGAGGGAACAAGGGTAAACTCCTTTGTGGAGGCTGTCTCTTCAAACCAGTCAGGTGGTTTAAGTGAGGAGTCTGTCTCCACACATCTTTCTTCCTCTGTTTGTGATAAACCTTTACCACCAGAATATTGCCTAAGTGGAGAGGACTGGGTGGGTGCCTGTGCAGATAATTTTGTTATTCCATACCTCAGCTGAATGAAATAATTTATCATAACAAAAGAGGCTCAGCAGTGAGGTTCCCAAGACTGCTGCCCTGCACATGTACAGGCTCAAAGGCACTGCTTTGTCTCTGCAGTCCATGGTCTGGTTGTACAGTACAACCACCTACTTGAAGGTGAGATAGAGTAGCACAGTGTCCATAGCTTGGTTTCAGTAAAACACCTTCCCAGCTGCTGGGATTCTTGAGATTCCTCATTGGCTATAAATAAGTCTAAAAGTTCTCAACCTTGTATCTACACCACCTTGGAACAGGCTGTATTGTTTAATACTCGTATCTGTATGTACCATTACAGTTCTCTCTTTCAGTGCTGTCTTTTGCAGACACCTTCTAAGACCTCTTGGCCCCATTTCACTGTTTTAGTGACCAGCTTGAAGATGAGAGCAGTTTAGGAGCCCTCAGAAGAATTTTAGCTGTATGGTCCTGAAAGTGGCTCTGAAGAATGTCAGGATAAAGCTTCATGCTTGCTTTTGCCTCAGTCCATCTCTTCTTCATCACCAGAGAACTGCTCACAGCCAGAAGGTAGGAGACGTTGGCCCATGCTAAATCCCAGCCTGCCTTCTCCAGCAGTGTGGGAAAGGGAGGCTGCTCCAGTCGTGCCTTCCCGGCAGCATCTCCCAGTCACAGCTGCTGGATAAGGGACAGCAGCCCCAGGTTTTGCTACGAGATCTTAATCTGCACTGTCGTCCCTCATTACTGCCACTCAGTGCCGTCGTGTCCGGCCATGAAGGGTCACAAGATGACATGAGAGAGGTCGGGCAGGGGGTGTACAAAAGGGTCTGGCAAGCATCGGGAAATATGGAAAGGCTAAAAAGAGAACAGCTACCCAAACGATGCTCCAAGCAGCTCGGTGGGGATGGGGCTGAATGCGGCTGGGTTCACACTAAGTTTTCCCGAAGGTCACTCTGCAATATGGTAACTCCCAGCCCGGCTGTCAGTGCCCATAAAGGCAGCTCTCCTCACAGTGCGGGGGTGGGGAAGGGAAGGAGGTTTGTTTAGAAGCATTAGTGCACCCCTCCCCCGGCCCCATTAGTGGCCCTTATTAAACCAACACAGACAAAGAGCAAAGATGCCCTCGTTAATGGAGAGTCTTCGATAATTACTCTGCTCTGCCGCTTCTTTTGGGGCCTGAATAGCCTTTGAATAATGTTTCTCTTGCTGTGGTTGCAGACAATACCCTCGCAGACTGCTTTAAGCGGTGCCAATCCCATTAGCAGAAGAATAGCAGAGCTTTCTGGTTGTGTGGGTGTGTGTGCTCACGGGAGGACAGCGGGCTCGCAGTGGGAACGGACTGCGCTGCCCACTGCTTCGCTCTTCTCTCCTGCCCTCCAGGGCCCAAGGAAGTACAGCAGGCAAGTGCTGGACGAAACTCCATCTCAGAAACCATCTCCCTGTTTAAGCAGCCCCCATGCCAGGGGGCTTGTGAGAGCCGTGCTGCTACTCACAGCTGGAGGGCAGAGACGGGCGTGGCTGCTCACCAGGAGGGAAGGGACAGGCTGGGAGGCAGAAACCCCGCGGGACTGGGGTGCCTCCAGCCTTCCCTCATGTTCCCTAGGCACAGCTCTCCTCGCGCCCGCACAAAATTCCTGAGGGAACGGAGACCCAAGAGCCCCCTAAGTCAGAATCGGACAGAAATGCTGCTTTACTATACAGAGGAGATGAGACACATCCTTCTGCATGCAGTTGATTACAGAGCATGAAAATGGCTATGCCACACAATTTTGGGGGGTTAATTTTGTGCTGCACACCCCAAGCAGGAAGCTAATTAGTGTGTTCAATGGGTAGCTATCAGCCAAACTTGGAAGAATTAGGATAATTCTACCTGAGACTTTCTCTTTGATCTCCCGTTCTGCATGATAAGTGAAAATAGTGTATAGCCGAGCTGGCTGTGGTGTTTAATTTAATCATCTGATGATATTTATTTTCATAAACACGAACTCAAGCAACAATTATCAGAAAGGCTTCATCTTGTGCTGAACGCTCCAGTTAATGGCTTTTCTGTGAGGAAATAGCTTCTATGTAGGGAGTCAGTAATTAAAACGTGTGAAAAAAGGCCACTTTTTCAGAGGCAGTGGAAGACTGGTGGGTCTAATGCTCAGCTGGTAAGAGCTGTCAAGTCGATCAATGGCCACAATAAATGGGCATTGCTCCTTCCACATTATGCCAGCAAAGGATGTGCTGGGTTGTTGAGAGTTTTCCAATTTGAGAAGGAGGTTTGGATTCTTGTCAACAGGAGCCAAACTTAGGAATATGTGGTGCAATGGTCTTTGAAAGATGATTCTGGAGTTCTCATGGAAGATGTTCAGATTGAAGGAGCACTTGGTCCTGCAAACTATCCTACAAAGAAAGCAGCTAAGTTGTTTCCAGTATTGCTAAAGAGAGACTTTTTTCCCTCTGTCAACACAGTGTTGAAACTAAGGGGAAAAAAGACATTTGACACATTCCAAATAGCGGAAAGACGAGTTCCTTTATGTCTTTGTCATATGGAAAAATAATGTACAGTTTTTTTACTTGTACAGGTAACTATCATGTGGCTCCATGCACCGTTCAGTGTTGGGCCATGTGCTGATGGTTGGTAAGCAACGAGGACAAAGCTGGAAGTCAAGCTGTGTGGAAGGTTCTGATAGATAGCCGCTGCTATCTATGTCTTTAACCAGTATACCTTACTGGAAACAGCTTGTGATTTTATGTTGGGGGACAATGATATGCTTAAAAATGAAAACTGCAAAATCTGAAGCTTGCATTCTAAACTATATACAGTAACAACAACAAAAAAAAAATTCAAAGGTTCCTATTTCTTCAGAACTGAGAGTGATTTTTCTGCAGCTTTGAAAGATAGTGTTGATATTTGGGGTTTTTTTCCTCTCTCCACTGGCACACAGGCTGCAGGAAGAAAAATCTCGACTAGAGGAATCAGAAGCAAGGAAGACATAAATGTTTTTTTACAGTGCACACTGCCTGCTTTTCTCCCCTGACAGCTGTGTATCCCCAGGTAATGGACCAGCATGTCCGGTGCATGATTTGGTTTGGTCTGAAAGGAAACTTTTAGTTTGTAACTGGAAAAGAGGCAAAGTTCTGAACCATTGTCATACACATAAGTTCTAGAGGGTCTCTTTCCTTCTGAAGAGCCCAAGAGATAAATGTTTAAGTACCACTTGACAAAAAGCTGGATGGTGATAAATAACGTCGTAGGTAATGATACTGCCTTGTACTTTGTGGGGTTTAGGTGGATACAGCCGAACTGGAATAAAAAAGATCAATCCTTGACTGTTACCCAGTGAAGAAGCCATTCATCTTTGGGAGCAGGACTTGGAATGTGTGGTGGTCTCGTAATACATTATTTTTGGAGGCCAAGATTATTTAATTTTCAGCCAGGTTAACTGGTATTTTATGTGCCAAAGGCTCTCATTTATCCTTGCTGTCACTGAAGTGAGAAAACCCATTAAAATACTACTTTGTTAATTGTGCCAGTTGCATTTTGCAGTATACACTAAATGTGGTTGATGTGTGAGGAGACAAAAAACTACTGGTGGAAGCTGACCTAACACCTGCCTTTTGCTGTGGATTGTGAATCTGCTTTATGGATTCAATTCAGCACCACATCTTGTAGCTCCACTTCAACACCAAGCCTGTCTCTGCTGCTCGGCACAGCACCACCGAGTCCCCTGTGGCACAGCCAGTGTGACACCGCCGCGCCCGTGAGCTCAGACCCGTGCATGGTGCTGGTGAGAGGTGATCTGCGTACACGGGACGTCAAAATTCAGGGGCATCCCTAATCCAGACGTGGCTATTGCTTGCCGAGAGGTTATTTTTACAAGAGCAGTATTGCTGGCTGGGTTGCCGTGGTACCTGAAACAAGCTATTTGTAATTGTCGTGTAAGCCTTTGTTTTCCTTGGGTAACAGGTTCTGCTAGAGATCCTTTTGCTGCCCTGTGGCGATATGGATTCACGCACCACGCTGCTCCCTGCAGCCTTCGCGCCTAGGTAAGCGAGCTCGCACTTGGGACTGTTCAAGTCCCGTTAGAATTTTGCGTTGTCCGGCTCTCCTGAAGCCAAGTGCCAGCTCCCCGTGACTCTCGGCTGCTTTAAACTTGGAAAAGTGCAACTTTACCCTTGGTGTTTATACAGGAAAATCTGTGGTTTTTCTAGTGCTGTGTTTTAAGGGAAGTGAGACTGGCGGGCGGCCGGCGCTCCGCGGGCTGGGGCAGGGCCGGCGCTCCGCGGGCGCGGCGCCGGCGGCGGCAGGAACCTTGGTGCGGCGGAGCCGTTTCCGCGGCGGCCGGGACGGCTTTGCGGCAGGACGCGGCGCGGGAGGGGCCGCCGGCGCCGGGCAGGGCCAGCGGGGCCCCTCCCGGGCAGGGCACGGCGCGGCGGGCGCAGGTAAAGGAATCCTCCTCCTCCTCGGGGCCGCGGGCGGGGCGGGGCCGCGGGGCTGGGGGCCCCCGGGCCCGCGGGGGCGGCGGCCGGGCCGGGCTTCCCGCAGCCTGGCCGCGCCGCCTGCCCGCCCCAGCGTACGGGGCTGTGTGCGAGGGCCCGGACGCGGCCGCCTTTGCATTTATAGCACAAACGCGCCTGTAGTCATGTGCTCCCCTCTGCATAAAAAGGCCCCGTGCTTTCGTTTTCCCCACCCGGCTCACGGTCTCATCAGGAATTCGGGTGTTCCTCGAGTCAGACTCCAGTTTGTATAGGCACAGGGTGCTGACATCCCTCTCTATTTTAATAGCCCAGAGTGTGACATAATGCTGTGCTCTTCTTACCTTGCAGTAAAATAGCTTATTTTAAGGAGCAGGCACCCAGACACAGCCAGTGGAGTTATACCTTCTGGAATCAAATAGGCCTGACAAGAGTCTGTGTTATATGGGGATGAATGTATACTAGTTGGAGTATCCGAGAAACGCTGGGGTCACTGGCAGGATGAGGTGAGGTAAGGGGAGAAGGTGTACGTTTGTGTAGGGCATCGTGACTTGCTCCTGATCTGTTCTGCAAATATGCACAAATTACTCTCATCTTGCAAAGCTTTACAGACAAATCTCTTTCAGCACTGCATATCCTACTACTGACTACAAAATGTTGCAGTAAGAGTAAGAAAGCATCTGAATCTTAGTTGGTTCAATACCCATGCACTTTAAGCAACAATAATTTTCATCTTGCTACATTTATGTCTTTTTTGTTCAAAATTAATGAATTAATTTTGGGACTTAAATCAGAAATCTGACATGATACAGAGTACTGTATGGTGGAGTGAAAGTTCTTATCAACCTGTTGTAGCTAGATACATTGTTCCTGCGGGACCTGATCAGCCTAAAGCAGGTTATTGTTAGCATTTCAATATCATCAGATGCATTGAGGTTTCTACAGGGCTTCTGCTAAAATTTTCTGTAATTAAGATGTAGTTCAGTTTGGGAAAGAGCAAGCACTTATGCTGGGTAGTCACACAACTCGGTAGTGGTGCTGGTGGTTACAAGCATTCCACAGGGTCGGCTGTTGTGGCAGGACTGCCAGGACCTGAGCATTTGGGTTACTGTGGTAGGTTGCCGAACTTCAGCACTGTTTGGATCAGTGCTTCTTCTCCTTCTCCTGCCAATATATGTAACAAAGCACTGTGGTCCTGGCTGTTTGAAAAACAAGAGAAGAGCTTAGTTTGAGGTCTGAAGAGAGGCTGTGATTAAGTGCTGTATTCTGCTCAGTGTCAGCATGCAACTGCTAACAGTTACAGGAAATCCAGGTCTCAGTGTAGAATGGCTTGTACTGTCCCAGCCTATTCTTTGGGTACCACAGTTGGAGAGAGGAATTAGTTCCAGCTGCAGATCAGGCCTACTCAGAAAGCTGTACAGTACAGATTTGGACGTCAGGTGTGTTTTCTTACAGCTGTGCCTGGATCTCAGGGAAGAAATGGTCTTCTGTGTCCTTGTGGGTGATGGTGTGTTTCTTATCTTCTTTTGGGCCTCTGGGGCAATGCAAGCTGTTATTCCCAGCTATGTTTTTTAGTTCTGTTCATAACTCAACAAGGGCAAATTGAAAATGTCTTAATTTCTGAACTTAAAAAAAAAAAAAGTCAAGCATTTAAGGACTGACTGTCTTTCCTCTTCAGCCGAGTCCTATAAAATGTGGAGTGAGTAGGTAGTACAAAATTTTGGTTTGCATTAAGTAGAAATGTTTGAGGTTTTTTTTATAGAGAAGTTTTATTTCACCTGACATATACAAAGTTGCTCCACATCCTAGCAAGAGCCAAGCTAGAAGCAGATACAATTAGAAGTATTAGACTGAGTCATGTTTGTTGTTTCCTGCTTGTCTAGTTCAATCACGTTTCCTTTTCTACAGGAGGAGCTTCTATTACCCCTCTTGGATACCCTGTTCCCTGACAATTTCTGTGCTCTGTGCTGGATTCAGGAGGTGACAGGCTGTTTGGTGGTGTCTGTGTGCCTTCTTGTAAATAAGGACAGCATGTAAAATCCAAGTTACACCACTTTAGACAAAACTGGAATATAAGCACAGAAATCATTCACTCTCTTGGGTTATTATTTGAGGCCACAGGTGTGTTTAGGACCACAGAACCACGTCTAGGGCCAAATCACTGTACTGCTGTGTTCTTTTTGTCCCTGTGGATTTTGTGAGGTCAGGCAGCCACCAAACAGCATGCAGAGGAGGTGGTCTGGGTTTCAGTCTAATGTGAACTAAGAAAGTGCCCATGTGCTGATGGGTTTGGCTGGCTGCAACCTGGGCTGTGTGTCACCTCCAGCTGTTCCCCTATGGTCAGTCTGCTTGGCTTTTTTTTCCTTCCTTGTTAAAGTCCTTTATCCTTCATCCCAGTCCAGCTGCTGAGATTTTAAGTGGTTATTCATCCCCAGGAAGTGACACAGCCCTTCATTACTTGGTGGTGCTCCCCAGCCAGGAGGGATGTGTGTCAGGTGGCTGCAAGGCAAACGAGTGAGTGATAAAGATCTTGGAAGAGCTGTCCAGCAGTCAGTTTCTGGAATAGAAATCTTTCTGGTGGTCTGTCTTCCTTTACTTCTGGCTGCTCCTCAGCCTCTGGCCCTACTTTGTTCTAGTGCAGGCTGTTGTGCTCTTTGCAGCTTAGTACTTCTTGTGTTTTAATCAGTGTTTCCAAATGACAGGTAAAATTAAAGGTAATGTATACTGTAAGCACTGTTTATTGTGCATTGCTCTGTGCTCATCACTGGGTGAGCTGTTCTGGAGCTGTGATGTGTTAGTTCTTCACTCGGGGAGGATACCTGGGGAGCTTCCTTGTGAAAGGCACTGGGTGAGGTCAGCAGCTGGGGATAATCTGTGCTTCACAGAGCCAGACTCATGTCCTTGCTAAGGATCTGTTTCCCTCCATGGAACGTGGCATTCTTCTTCCTACCTGATTTCACTTCTTTCTCCAGGTCATCTTTTTGCAGGTTTTTTTTTTTGTTTGTTTGTTTGTTTTCTGTAGAGTAGAAGAGATCACTGCTGTCTTTTAGCTTGACTGTAATTAGGCCCCAAGTTAATTGCAGCTATTCCTGCTGTTTGCCTCTCCCTGGGTCTAGCAGACAGGAAGTGGGAGCTCTTCTTCATTGATAAATGTTGGCAGTTAATTTCATCCTTAAGGATAATGAGACTGGCAAACAGGTAGGTTTGCAACTTGGAAATGGTTTTGTTTGCATTCCTAACCAGGGAATGCAAATGCCTTTCTCCAGTTTTTGTGAGTTTTTCCTGTGTATTGCCAATTGCTTTGTGCAGTGATATCAGTCAAAAGATTTACTGCCATGTCAGAGTTTGCTTTCATTTGGCACCAAATCCATGCAGACATCTGAATTAAATTTTTGTTGAGTGCCACTGTCAGAAAGTGCCTAATTGCATTTATGGAGGATATGTAATTGCAGGATCCCAGTGCTAGTGAGAATTACTGGCACACCTTTTTTGGTGGTGTAGGGAAGGATGAGCCTGCCACCACTGCTGTCACCTTTCACATTTTTATTGAGCAGGGCAAACAGACTGGTTGGGAAGGTATGAATGCTGCAGTTTTTATAAACTGTTGTGTGATACAGGGGCCTGTCATCTTCTCATGACCATGTGATTCAGCATCCTACTGGCTATGAGGTCAGTTTGTAGTTTGGCATCACCACATTTGGCTGGCTGGTAGCTCCAGTCTCACAGGATCCAGAGAAACATTCAGCTGCTTGAAGCCTCTGGCGTTTTTAAAAATGAGCTTATTAAATGTAAGTGTAAATTTTTATCCCTTGCTTTCCACCTTTCCTAGTGACTTATAGAACAGACCAACATTGTATCTGCTGTCACTAGAATGCTGCAGTGGCATGTCACATGTCCTTCTGGAGTGATTGCTGCTCCAGCTGAGTGAGGGAGTGCAAGGCTGCATCCTCTGCCGATCCTCATGAGGCAGCACTTTGAATGGACCAGGACTGCAGGCCTATGGTTATGTTGGTGCTAGTTTTGTTCTAGTGAAAGCTTCTTGCAGTTTGCAACTTTAAAATACCATTCTTGCTGTAAAAATATGCTACAGAAGGGTATAGAATAAGTGGACAGGTTGTACCACATTATGTCCCTTAGGCTGTTCCTTGAGCTCCCAGGCTCTGTGGTACCAGGGAGCAGAACACTGTCCTGGGGCTGCTGGCAGGACTGAGCTTCAGGAGTAAACTCCATGCTGCATTAAGCTGACAATGCAGTTATGCCCAGACTGACTTAATTTCCCACTGCTGTCAACTGGCACAATTGCACAGCTTTGCAGAGTCTGCTCCCATACTGTTCTGATTTGAAGTAACTCCAGGTCTGTGTTGTTTAGGCCTCTGGTTGTGGTTTTGTCTCTATCTTCAGTGTCTTACTCTGTGTTAATGTAATTGAAGCTGATCCTACCTTGGTTCACTATGAGACTAGCAAAGTGAATCCTTGCAAAGAGTTAAGAGGAGGAAGATCTCAGTGTAAGGGCTTGATGTTCCAGAGTTGTGTATGTGATTAGTTATTGCTTTTGAAAGTTATTTAGTTGGAGTATCTTTGGACATCATAGTCTGAACTGCAGATCTACTAGGAGGGAGGGTGAGCAGCTGCTTTTGAGCACAAGTGTGTCATGGCTTGCTCCAACTGAAGCAGGGGTGGGAGGAAGTCACTGGGGGATTGTGGAGATAGGTTTGTGTGACAGAGCTCTGTGCCCCCTTCTTTTGGAGCCGCTGGCCACCTTCTTCTCTTCCTCTGGCTTGGGTGCCTATTTAAGCAGCTTTCCTAACAGAAGTTAGGCTAAAAGACTGTTACGGATTAAAAAAAAAAAAAACCAAAAACAAACACCTTAAGTAGAAATATTATCTGTTTTTGATGCTGTTTAATAGATGTTTTTTCCTGCTAAGTATAAATCTTCATGGGTCCTGGTAGCACTTCAGCAGCGTTTACAAGCTAATGAGCTGCTAATTATCGGCCCAGCTAATTAGTTTTGTTAAGAGTGTATGAATCTAGGTAGAGCTCTGAGCTAAGGCAGCTTTCTGCTTCTAGGACTTGAGCTGATATGTTCAAAACTCTGACTTTAAGCTGTTCTGCATGTGCAGGCTCTGGGTACTGTGATTTGTCTTAGGAGACTTGAGGGCTGTTCTTCTGCCAGTAAAAATGCCCAGTCTCCAAGTCCCAAGAACTCAGAGACATTTGGCAGGTTACCCCAATTAAAACATACCTATTGTGCATTTCCCTTCAGCATGGCAGCACTGTGGATGGAGCTTCAGGACTGAGGAGTTAAGACAGCAGCAGACTTGGTGTGGCAGGAGCAATGGGACACCCCCTTACTGCACCACAGGGAATAGAAACTCCCTTCCTCCTCACAGGTGTAAGCTCAGGTGGTCAATACAGCTCTCAATAGTTCTAGCCTAAAGCTCCTTGCTGGTCTTACGTTTTGCCCAGTTAGTCAATGGTTTGGGAGTAAAGATCTGCAGATTTGCAACAATGCATGACATGTTATATTTTGTTTTGCTGGTAGGTTGCATTGTCTCTGGAGCTTAGGTTGCTACATGGTTTCACTTGAGTTCACAGTGATATTCTAGAAAGAAACTATGTGCAGTGCTCTGCAGTAGCCTCCTAGCATTGATTTATTTGGCAAATATCACAGTTCTGTTCATGCAGATGGGTAGGCAAGGTAGCCACTGTACAACCATGTTGGTCTCCATAACATTGTGAGTTCAAGTGATCTTGGACAAAAAGGCAAACTATTTGAGGCTGGTTGGCCTATGTTATGACCCTGTCGTTTATCAACTTTTTCTTAGAGCCCTAAGGAAAACTCTATGAAGCATTCCTTAGGTAGCTACCTCTAAATGCAGCTTTCTAAAGCTTGGTTAACAAGTGGTATCACTTTAGTTTCCTGTCATCTGGTGTTCCATCAAGCTCTCTGCAGCTTTCAAAAAGTGATTATACACAGAGTTGACACAGAGTGAACAACAGAAACCACCAAGGGTTTCTTCATCCACAATAATTTTGGTGCCAATTGAAGGAAAAAGTTAAACGAAGGGGATTACGACTGTGAAAAGAGTGATGTGATTAAATATATTTACCTGGGAACAAACTCTTACTGATGTGATGTTTTGCTTTTTTTTCCAGCTACTCTTCATCTCTATGAGCTTGTTACATACAGGGACCACAGCCTGCTTGGTCAGTGGGTGTTAGATCTTCCCTCTGAAGAGAAATTGAGTTGGTTACTTCCTGCCACTATGGGTTGGAGTTGGTTACTGTGTTTGCCCACCACGTCCAAGTTAACGGTGTACCAAGGACAGATGTGAAGCAGGTCTTTAGGTCCATATTGATGTGGTATCTTAACGCATCGCAACGCCTTGAGCCCACAGCAGCACGGGATATGGAGGCTTTTGAAGTGGATGACATTAGCCCTGCCTTGGAAGTGACTGAAGACTTTTTCAATAGTTTTGATACTAAGCTTGAAAAGATTGTGCAGCCCTCTGAGGTGTATGGCGTGCAGGAGGTCCCGGAACTGGTTGGGCATGAAGTATTTGATCAGATAACAGAGAGCAGGAACCTGAGGAACGTCGCCTCCTTAGCTAAAAGTAGCCTCATCTGGGATCACTGCAAAAATGGTCTATTGGAAACCAAAGTTCAGACAGTGTTCCCTGCCAAAGACCAATGCATGGTGCAGAGGGGAACAGCTGCTGACAACCTTGCTTGGGCAGGAGAAGGGGAGACCACAACTTTTAATATCTTCAAGATCTGCCAGCGGCGGAGAGATAGGCCTCGCTCAGTGAATGACATCCTGGTGCAGAATGAGGAAGCCTCCATGTTCAAACCAGGTCACAACAGGTCACGCTCTGATATCAGCCACGTAAACTGGAGAGTGGTCTTCACAGGCACCTCCCTGCAGCAGCCACCTGCACCTGGTCAGGACAATAACTGTGCTCTGCTTTCCTACCTGGCATTAACCAAGGGAGAGAATATCCAGGGAAACACAGGTTTGTGCTGGTGTTTGTTTCTGTTTATATGAGGAGTTTCCTATCTGATTTTAATATTTGTCTTGAAACAGGAGCTGGATGTTAAAAAACACAAAAAACCTACTCAAAATCCAACTGTGAGGTAACTCTTAAAAGAAGAGAAATTAGTATGGCTCTTTTGTCTTTGATGTGACTCTGTGCATTTGCTTGCCTAAAGATCATTTTTTAAACTTCCCTTGATTTCTGTTCTTTTTATAGTTTAAATATCTAAGCTTGTTTTACTTTTTTCTTCTGTCTTATTCAGTTTGACTCAGGAAAAATGATTTATTTACTATGTATTTCTGATAATTTCCTTAAAGGATTTTACCAAACTTAAAAAAGGCTTTGAATGCTAAAGCTATTGGGAGAATGGCAAATCCAAACAAAATCAGTTTTCATAAAGTGAAAGAGCAGCCATTAAAAAGAGAGTGTACAGAGCTTTACTGTAAGGCCCAAGATCTCTGCTCTCTTTCTTTAAATAATGCTGAATTTTTAGTCCATAAGCAAGTAACAGAAACTAAAGCACTCAGTTTGTCAATATTAAGGCATTGCTGCCAGCATTGTGTGGGGCACAGGAAGTGTTGTTATCAGATTGAGGCAGACATCTCCAGTTAGCTGTATGAAGCTGTGTTTCAGCAAGTGATAATTCTTCCTTTTCCTTTCCCAAGCACTGCACTGAAGAGGTTCTGCTCAGGACTTTGGAAACACTGACCCAGTGTCTCCATCTCCATGATTTATTTTGTAGATGCCAGAAATAATCCGAGCATTTACGGAGAGGAACAGCAGCTACTGCCACAAAGATTTTTGTAATCTTAATAAAGGCAGGGCTTAATTTTAATTAAAGGATTGTGAACGGGTGTATGTATGCACCCTTATATGGTGGCTTGACTCCAGTTATGAATGGGTTTAGGGTTAAAACAAGCTTTTTGTGTTGGGTTTTCCAGGTAAGTCAGGTATATTGGAACATGGAAAGCAGGTGCCTAAGTGTTTGTGTTTGGGGAGATGTGTGTGTGTATAAATATATATAACATATAAGTACATATGAGTGTACATATAGGTAAAGACATGTAGGTTATTGTGACATAGTGGCTGTAGCCCAAAGGAAGGTGTTGTTGGTTGACAAAGGCAAGTACACCTGCTGTTACTTTTGTCTAGGAAGATATATTGCTTCATGTAGAGTGGAGTCTCTGTTCTATATCTTTCTGTGGAAAGGATGCAGAACAGAAATGCACTCAGAAGTCTGGAGACAAATCTCTTCATTTTTGTCAGCTGTGCTGTGGGCATCTGCTAGATTTGATGTGTAACAACTTAATATGTCCCCAGAAACTTCATTAAAATGTAGCCATTGAAGGTCTGTACATGTCCCTGATAGTGTTTCACGCTTAATCTGTGATTCTGTGATATGAAATTGCCATGGACCCACTTCTCAAGGTAGTCAGTGCTTGCTGTGTGCCTTCCAAGAGCTTTCTGTAAGGAATATTGGAAGGCAGAGGTACCTTCTTTGAGAAAGGAGAGCTTCTGTTCTCTGAAAATATACATTTTTTACCTGTTCTGTCCAGCAGCTGTGCAGGTTTTACAAGGTAGCTGTGGTATTTCTTCCCTTTGTGTTTACAAGAGAGCTTCACAAAGAGTTTGCTGCTACTGTGAGCTGATCTGAAAAGAGAAGTGCAAAAGCAAGAAAGTAGATTTTGCAGACATGTATCTGTAGCTACTAATTATTCTCCAGAAAAGACTGAAGAATGTATTTGGAGGTTGGATAAAAGGGGTTGTTGAAGGAGTCATAGCGGGTTGCATCCTTAGAAGACATCCCTTTTCAGGGTTTTAATCCAAATTAAATGAATGCTGTGAGATACTGAGAGGACCTTCAGCAACTCCTGTCAGTTCTCACTGCTGTAAAGGACTTCCCTCTGGAGCCTGCAGAGGTCTCCCAGTCCTCCAGAGCTGTCCCACTTACTGCATACATGAACTCTTCGCTGTTTTTTTTCCCCCCTTACCATCATAGTATACCCATTACTGTGGGCTTCTCTGTTCCTGCTGCTTGCTCTTTTATAGAATAATAGAATCTGGAAAAAAACCTTTAAGATTATCTACTCCAGCTGTTAACCCAGCACTGCTTATTCTATCACTAAACTGTAATACAAGTAAAATAGCACTGAATCATTTCCATGTGCTGAGAAAGAAAATGACCTGAAAAGAAGCTGTGCATTTTGGGGCAGTATCTTTGGCCTGCTCATCAAAGAACTCATGTGCTAGAAATAAACCCTGTTTGTGCTATGGGGCACAAGCAGGAAGCAGAGCTAGCAAAGACAGAAGATGTAAGCTAATTCAAGGCAGGCTCTTGTATTTCTGGGCATGTGGCTGGCAAACAAAGAAACAATACTGCTTCTGTAATATACAGTGAAGCTTGGCTTGGATTTTTAAAACACAGTGTTTTAAACACAGCATGGGTTGATGGTCATTCAAACACCACCACTCCTGACAGTGTGGGTGCTACAGTACTTTTTCCAGGTAGCTGTTTTGTTTGCCTGCTGTGCCTATGAGCTTGGGGAACTCTAGCGCTGTCACAGTGTTGAGCACCTGCACAGTGACAAACTGAAGGATACATATCTGCAGACCCAGGTGGGAAAACAGGTGGGAAGAAAATACTGTATTTTTAACTAGGAAGACAGTGGACATTGTGTATCTGGGGCACAATGTGTCCCTGATCTAGCAAATCCCACCAAGAAGGTGACCAGTCCAACCCAATTTGAGAGCATTTTAGATCCCAAACATGTTTTGTAAAAATGTTCAGTTTTGTAAAAATCCAAGAGGAAAACTACTGACAGAAACTCTGAACTTACACTCATCACTTACTAAGTATTAGAGAATTCAGAGAGGAGTGTCCCCTCAAGATGCAAACTCCTCACAAACTAGGCATCTCTGCTTCAGCTCTTTTCCAAGTTACTTGGAATGACTGTTATCAGAAATGCTGTAGTGGTGGAAAACGGAGTAAGCTTTCCTGCCATGCTATATGAGATGCAAGTAGTCAGTTGTTCTGGAGTGTGTATCTTCTGGACTTGCTGATACAGCATTTGGTCTCTCTCTCCAGGGGTGCTGGTTGCACCGGCTGCCCCAAGTGTGGCGAGTGGTAGGTGGGTGCTAGGCTGGCCTGGTTTCAGTGCTGTGTGCAGGGTTCCTAGCTGGGACGAGGGGGCAGTTCCCAATGGAGTGGAGAGATGCTGAGGAAGATATTACTCAGTCTCCAGCTGCTGAGCCTCTCTTTGTTTTCCTCTGCCTTCTTCCACCACTTTCCTTGAAATTATAACTCCCAAATGGTGCAGATGTGAGCCACTTACTGTGATTATTTCGGGTATTTTTACTCTTCCTCAATTTACTCTGCCTGTCTCCATAAGGAGGAAAAGAGATGCAGTTTGTGTTTGGAAGGTGGATAGAGAGATGGTACCATTTGCTCTCTGAGTAAAAAGGTATTGTCTGGCACAGTGCATGTGGAAGAGATAAAGGAGCAGAGCTGTAACGTGTGTGTACGTGCAGCATATGAATTCAACCTCTCTGTGCCAGCATCTATTGCCCTGACCTAACAAATATGAGGCATTTGAATGTTAATCAAGGTGGCTGCTGGTTCTGTCCCAGTTTGAGCAAGAGCCATTGGAGCCAATTTCACAGAGCTTGAAGGGAAGGAGTGGGGTGAAGGAGGGAGAGGGGGGTGCCTCTGTGAAAGACAGGGAGAGATAGCCTTTCTGTAACTCAACAAAAGATAAGCAAACCTGTGTGTGGATGAAGGAGGGGTGGTTGGGGGAAGGTTATGAGTTGTCTTATTATGGAGAAGCTTGAACAGTCATCTGTACTTGATGGAAGTGAGAGAGATTGCAGTTGGAGCTGCAGAAGCGCTGCCTCCCTGATTGGATTAATAGAAAGGGAAGATGACTCTAGAATGGCTGTCCATTATCTGAACTACAAAGGGATTAGTGTGGGTTTCAGAGAAATTAATGGCTTTTGAGTTAGTGCAGAAATACTAATGAATGTCAGGGCCAGAGATGTACGGTGAACAAAATTGGTTCTCTTTCAGTGTGTCCATGTATGTGCACATCTATCCATCTGGGCTATCAAAGTGTGCTTTTTCTCTACCATTCTGGGTTATAGATTAGGCTTTCAGTTTTCATATTTAGCTGAAATACCCTTGAGTAGTTCATTGATATGCAAGGTATAGTTATACTGACCTTTTTAAACCTAGTGCCAAAATAGCAATTTTTAAAATTGCTGTTATGGTTTTGCCATATCTACAGGTAATCTCTGTAGATGGAGTCCTTTGAGCATGGTTTAAAAGCAGGCTCCATTCTGAGTGTGTGGGTAAACAGGGAAGCTGAGGCTGAGCTGTCAAGGCGAAACCTAAGTGCTTCTTTTTGTTAGGGTGGCTGAAAGGTAGTGTCCTTCCCCCATTTTTAACCCCCATTAGATTTCCATACCAATATTAAATATATCAAACAATTAATTTTCATGTATGTTCATTAAGTTTAACTGGAGCTTATCTGCTTAATCCTTGAAAGCTGGTCTTTGCTGAAGAGCTGGCAAAAGCTTTTACACTGCTGTTATTCTGATTCTTTCTCCTGCCCATAGAAGAAACTGAGAATTAGCTACAGGAGTACTTGCAGCCAAAGGCAGGAGAATCTTCTTAGAACAAAGGTTACAGCCCAAGGTTGCCCCACTTGGTATCAGAAGCCCCTGGACAGCAACTAAGTTCCTCAAATACTCATGAGTCCCTGACTCTCCTTGTGCTTAGGGAAGACAGACAGACTCATCCCTTAGCCAGCAGTGGTGAGAGCAGTTTGGCCAGCAACCTTGGCCATATTACCTGGGAAGCCCTGTACAGATGGGGATGTAGTTTCTATACAGGCCTGGTTTTGTTTCCAAGCTTCATTCAGTCTAGATGTTTCTGTTCTCTTAACTCTGTGCTGCAGGCATCCTCAGTATCCTCAGAGATGATGTCTAAAGGTTGTTAGAGTGTGGCCTGTTAACATGAGTGTAACTGGTTAAGCTGAGATGTTGAAAATGTTTTATGCCTCCAGCTATCCCTGTTTCAAAGGCTGTCAGCCTCAGGGTGGAAATCTTGAATAGACCAGCTCTGGTATTGCTGTGGTCTGTAATGCTGTGTGTTAAAGTCAATTGATGCTGATTTTGTTGTGACCTAATTTGCTGGGCAGTGGATGAGGAGCTGTTTCCAGGTGGCTATCTTGCTCTTGTGCCAGGAATAGCAGACTCTAAGGAAGATATACAATTAGAGGCAGAAACCTTTATTTGTGTCTGCTAATTATATCACTGTTTGTAAGTCAAGACCCAGCACAGGTACCCTTACTGGAAGGGTGAAGTAGAACTCAAATGGGAGTTAAGAGTTTGTTCCTCAGGCCCGCGTTGTTTTGGGATAACAAGTGTTACAGTTGGTATTACAGTGTAACTATGAATGCCTCTGAATTTATACAGGGACCAACAAAAATTGCCTAGAGCCACATGCCTAGCCCAAGGTGAAAATATGAATCCTGCCTGTGGTGGCTGAAGTGGTGCAAATTAGATTGGAACAAATTTTGTATGGAAACCTTTTTTTTTTTTTTTTAAACTCAGAAATGCTATGGATAATTCCTTTTAAATTTTTATCACTTTAGTGCTTGGAGTGATGTGTATGGTGGTTTTCTGTGGATGAAGAAGATTCCCCTTGACTTTGCCTTGGGCTTGGGTTTGTGAAATGGTCAGCTCCAAAACACCTGAAGTGCTGAGATGCTCAGGTGTATGTGTTTGAATCCTTCTGGGCAGCCTCTTACTTTTCATTTTTGGTCATGTCTGCTAATCCTGAGCCTGATTCTCACAAATCATCAAAACTCTGGAGTTAACAGAGCTGTACAAAATGTTGTGGTCCCAGGTCGTGCTGAAATGTGGTAGGAAACTGCTGTGTTGGGCACAGTTCTGCATTTGCCGGGTCAGTGCAGGTGCCAGGTGCTGGCAGCAGGGCTGTTCCAGCAGCCCCTCCGCAGGACACAACTGTGGCCATCAGCCACAGGTGAGGCCTCTGTGGCAGAACACACCTCAGGAAGGGCACAGCACTGGCAGCTGTGTCAAGAGCAGCTGAGGGTCAGAGGATGAGAATGTGCTCCAGCCCCTGGGAGGAACATGGTGGATCAGGATCTCCCTGCAGGCCCATGTTGGAACCCCAAGCTGGAGAATATGGAGCTTTCCTGAAGGAACTGTGGTCACAGAGAGCTGATGTAGGGGTGTGTTTAACCTGAAGGGCTGCAGCCCGGGAGAGGACCATGCTGGAGCAGGGGAAAGGTGTGAGAAGGTAGGAGAGCAGAGAGGAGCTGACCAGATACCACTATGCCCTTTCCCTCTGAGCTGCTTAAGATGGGGGAGGCAAAGGTGGTGTGTGTGAAAACATGAAGTTGAGCCTGGGAAGGAGCAGGAAAGAGAGGTAAGGTGTTCTAATTTTTATGTGTTTTTCACTGTCAAAATCTTATTTTAGCTGGCAATAGATTACTTGATAGTATTGTCTGTTTCTGGACTAGGTTCTGGGAGACCTGCAGTGTTTTGTTGCTCTGCCATTGTCATCCTGGATATCTTAGGAAAATTGCTTTGTTTCTCTGTCCCTCTGTTTCTTTGTTCCCTTTTTGTGAGGTGTTTTGATACCTCTGGGTAAAAAGTGCTGTATTCTGGGTGGCTCAAAAGTAGAGTTAGTGCTTGTGTTGGATAATTATAACCTATTACACGAGGATTCTCTCTGTAATCCTATTTTCAGATATGCCGTGTATGGGTAGGAGAGATGTAGAAGCCAGAATGATGTAGTAATTTGAGACAATTAAAAAAATAATCATAATATTCTATTTTTTTTCCTCCAGAATACAAGACAGTGTTCTCAAATCTTCTGAAGAAGGGATACTTGGAAGTTAGAAGAGACAATGACAGCTACTGGCAAACTTGCTATGCTGAACTCTCTCAGTACAAACTGTACCTGTATTGCTTGGACAGCAGTGGCAACCAGACTCTTCCCACTGTGTATCCACTCATGCGTTTTCAAAGGGTGGCTGTTACTGGTGGCAGTGAAACCAAGGTGGTGGACACTGTCCTGTCAGACGGCTCACAGCTACAGCTGAAGGCAGAGTCCTCGTGGGAGACTTTGGACTGGGGGCAGAAACTTTGGGAAGCAGTGCATACTTCTGGGCCTGCTCTTACAAGACAGCAGGAGAAACTGGAGAATGTGCCAAAGCTTGAAAATAACAGTGGGCTTTCTCAAACTAATGGATTATTAGAGAAGCCTATGGAGCTCTTCCTACCCATGAATTTGACTGAAAAGACTAAAGAGTACCAAAATATTCTGAAATCGGGGACTCTTTACAGGTTAACTGTCCAGAATAACTGGAAGGCATTTACTTTTGTCTTGAACAAGTCTTATCTCATGGCATTCCAGCCTGGTAGACTTGATGAGGATCCCCTGCTGAGCTACAATGTGGATGTGTGCCTGTCGGTCCAGACAGATACTCAGGATGGCTGTGACTCTTGCTTTCAGGTCATTTTTCCCCAAGATGTGCTGCGCCTGCGCGCAGAGACCCGTCAGAGGGCCCAGGAGTGGATGGAGGCGCTGAAGGCAGCAGCCAATGCTACTCGAAGTTTAAGCCAAAACCCACAGGTGACGCTTAGGAACAAACCTGGAGATCGGCCCTTTGGAAATGATCTTAGAAAGACCAAGCGCCAGTCTGTGACCACCAGCTTCCTGAGCATCCTGACCACACTGTCTCTAGAGAGAGGGCTCACAGTACAGAGCTTCAAGTGTGCAGGTGAGCAGCCAGGTTACAGCATCTGCACCCCCTCTGCAGGAAAAGAAAATCACTTGAAAGAGCATGTGTGTGCTTTAGCAGCACAGCTGTTCCCTGCCTCTCACTGTGGCTCTAGTTAGCCTTTCTCTCTGTCAAATGTGGAGAAAAAGCTACGGGATATTCAGAGGTTCGTCTGCTTTTGGTGAGCAGGGCTGAAACATTAGATCGTGCACATACAGCACTACATGGGCCAGGGCTGCCCTGCAGGGTGGCTGAACTGTTTTCTTGATTCGGGACACTGTAAAGGTGGTGCAGAATCAAAGGGGTTTGAATTTGTTGTCTGACTCTAGTCTTGTAGGCAAGATCACGTTTTTATCCAGTTTGGGAAGGAAGTGAAAATAGAGAGAATGTGTCTGAATGCATTTCATTATCATTTTACTTTAGCAAGGGCACCTGTGTGGAGCAAATTTGGGCACCTTAATGCCTAAACTATAGTCTCTGACTTGCTTTAGTTACACTCACTTAGAAATTGTCAGCTCAAGCAGAAACAGCTCTTTTGGAGACTTTTTCTCTTGTATTACAGGAGCTGTGATGGTCCTGCCTCCTCTCCATGCTGCTTTGGGGTGTGGGTCTTACGTTGCTCTGAAGCCACACAGGATTCTGGGGAGTATCTGTTTGGGCCCAGGACCTGCAGGCTGGCCTGAATCCCGTCCAGGGAGTACCTGGCCCCTAGAAGCACTGGACTGCCCTCAAAATTGTCTGTGGGTGCAGTTGGGTTTGTCCTTCTCTGGTAGGCACCTGCAGGTCATGTTCCTGCTCATCTTTCTATAGTGGATGACACCCACGTGGCAGCTGGAGCATCATGAAGGTTGGCATCATTCCAGTTAATGATTTGGTCATAGTATTTGGGCTTCTGCCTGAATCCAGTTCTGTTCTTGGCCACATTTGTATGACTTGGTGTAATTTGTTTTATATTTTGCTTAATTTTCTGACTGAGGTTCAGGAAAGTTTCAAGTGAATATTTTCAATTACCTCCTCTAAAATAGGAGGCCCCTGGGATGGCAACAAAATACATGTCTCCAGTGTGAAGCAGATTTTAGTCTTGCTTTATGTAGTATGGGAGCAGACTTTTCTCTGGGAAAGGATGGATTCCCTCTCCTGAACATGGGATGGTTAGTTTCCACTCACTCATGTATTCCTCACAAAAATAAGGTGCTCTGACTAGGGTTGCATGATGTCTTTTCTTGATACGCCTGAGGCATTTCCAATACTCCTGTGGTCTCCTTTTAGTCTGCCACACTGAACAAATGTTCTTGTGCAGAAAAAAATCATCTTGAGTTTGGAGGGTCTGTGGGGAGCTGGTCACTGGGATTCTCTGTTCCCGAGGGTTTCACAGCAGTTTCTGTAGGAGCAAGTCCTTTGCCATTCCTGAGACCCTTAGGGCTGTCTGAAACTTGGAGTTGTTACCGTGGAGCAGAGAAATAAATAATTTTAGTTATAATTGGGAGAAACTGGAGGAACTTTGTTTGGCTCGGGAAAGTTTGTGCTGAGGAGGGATACAGGCAAGCTGAGCCTCTCTCCTTTTCCTTGCTCCCTGCAGGCAGTTGTGCCGTTCCGGGCTTGGGCTGCTGTTTAACCTGAGGGGCCTGCTGTTGGTAATTACAGCTTGCAGGCATTGAGAGCGGTTTTCCCCAGGGCTGCTGGGAGGGGTAAGCTTGGGGAAAGATGAGGAGGGGGGAGGAAGAAAAGTTTTGCGTTGAATTCTTCAGCCATTTAGTGCAAATTCCTGTAATTACCGTCTTTGTGTCCTGTCCCAATGGCACATAATACAGCAGAAGCCTTTCCTAATTGAGACCTTACAGGAGGTACAAATCCCTCCTTTGTTCAGCCTGACAAATTAGTGCCAGAAAGTGGCAAGGTCCGAGTGGGAATCAAAGGCAAGCAACACAAAGATGGAACTTACGGCTACAGTAATAACCCTCTCTAGTCCTGCAGGGGTGGGAGGGAAGGAAAAGTAATGACCAATGAAAAATGAAGGGGTTTTTTGTTATAAATTCCCTTGACATGACAGCACCTCAGGGCTGCTTTATTTATTTAGGAAAAGCGATTAAATAGTAATACAACAGGGCAGACCATTGTCTCTCGAGCTACCCCCCTTCCTCCAGACCCCTGCTGCCTTGGCTAATTGATTGACAATGAACCTCTGATAAAGAAGGTTGCTGGGAGGACCTAATGGGGACAGGCTTTTTAAAATTTATTTTCTCTTTGCAGTCTTTGTGGGGTTCCCCTCTCCATTTTTCCTGTTTGAAATGCTCTTGGCATCCCCCTTTCCTTTTCTCCCTCAGTAAAAGCTTTTTAAGGAATTGGTCCCCGACAAACAGCTGATATTCACAAGCAGGTAGGGAAGAATGTGCATGTTTGTGCCTCGCTATTGACAGGTTTATCTTGGAGTCTGGGTAGCACTTTTCAACTCCAGGGAGGTGGTGTCAGATGTAGTCGTGGGGCAGGGAGGACAAAGTGTTCATACCCTGGAGTCAGAAGGGCAGTTGGAAAAAAGTTGTCTTTTGCTTGATCAGCAGATACAAAAGCTTTCCTTCACATTTGTAACTCCGTTTTACTGCAGAGGGCAGGGCATTACTTGTTGTAATTTGAAAAAAATTATTGAACCAACCACTGATTCGCAGTGGAAAGGCAGGGAGTTTATAAACCCTTTTAATTTTGTGGCCATTATTTATATTTTTGGCTTAGAGAAAAGCTTCTAGGGAAAGGTAGGCATTTCTCCTGGAGGAGTTCTCCTGGAGGTCTGTAAGGAGCAAATATCTCCAGGTGTCCTTCATTATCATTATTTTTTGTCACGGGGCATCACTTTTCTATAGATGGGGAAGATAAATGGCCTTTGCCATTGCCTCCTGTTTTTGCATAGCTCCTGTTCTTTTGATGGCTCTCTTCTGTTTCACCTTTTGTTTTCTTTCCCCCTGACCTTTATTAAAACAGACATTTTTTCCAGAGAAGTCAGTTGTGTCTGCCAGGAACTCTGTTACTTAGACAGTAAGTCCTAATGGATGTGGGAATTTCTGCCTTCTGGAAAATGTGCTCTACACCCTTTCATTTGTCTGTCTGGCTTTCCTTGCTTCTCTTCTAGGGTGCCTTCTGTCTTTTCCTCCCTGCTTTCTCCATGTCTCCTCACTTGCCAAAACGATAAATACTGCTATTAGGGCTTGAATGACTTGGCTGGCTGAGCTGAACACTAGGTGCAGAGAAGCCAGGGTTAGTGAATGTGCTATTTCCTGAGCTTGCAGCCCTGTCAAATGAAGACGCAGATGGAGAGCTGTTGTCTTTCAAGGAATCATTCTGCACCTAGTGCTGTGATCCTGTGTGTAGCTGGGGGACAGCCCAGTGCAACATGCACGGGTCATGCAACCTCTGCTCTATCTCAGCCCCTTGGTCTGGAATCAGTCACTACTACAGTAAAAATAAACTTACTTTTTTTTCCTCCCTTAATGAAAAGAAAGTATTTCCTAATAGGTTGCAAGGCAGCAAGTGTAATTTAAAAACAAAACTAAATAGTCATGTGTGATGTCAACTTTGTTCAACTTCTCTAAAAGCCTTACAGTTGAAACTTCTCAAATACAGATAGTTGAGAAGCATCCTTGAATTTACCAAATCCTTAGTGAACCGTCGTTATACCCAATGCTTATTTTGTAGCATGTCACTGAAATAAAAATGCTAGAGGATAAACCTAGAAAATGCAGGACAATAATAAAATACCATAAGGTCCTTTGGAAGGTTTTTAGCACTCTTGTCACATTTTAGTTCTGAATAACCATTGTCCTCACCTGTCCAGGGCTTTTAGGATTGTGCTTTTTCTAAGTGCTGTATTTGTTTTGTGCTTGGTTTCATTTCAATTGATCTCTTTCTTCCAAGGCTTCAGCAGCTTTTTACCTTCCCTGTATTTGAGACTCTGTAAAATCCCCTAGGAATGTTTTGCACTGTAGAGGTTTTATTGTTTAGGTATCTTCACTTTAGGCTTTAGTCTTTTAGTCTTGTATGTAACTTTCAGGCCCTATTTCTATTCATTTAAAAGTAAAACTTCCACTGCTAGCAGTGGGATTTCTAAACCAGCTGAGCAGAAAAATGCATGGTCTAAGTTAGTATTTGGAAAATACATCATGTTTAAACAAGGTCACTGACTTGTTGGGAGGAGTGGGGGGAGTGTTTCCAAACAAGGGTGACTGGAATTCATGTAGCAGGGAGCACTTTATTTGCCCTGGACCTACGTGTTTCAAAACAAGTGTGCTGGGCCGCAGTGCTTTGCCATATGACAGCTCATTTTGGGTAAAGGTTGGAAGATACCACATACTTGGGTTGATTAAACCTGCTTATCAGTGATCAGTTATGATCACAGAGGCCATTTAATCTTCATTGATGAGTTCTTCAGTGCAGTTCTAGGATGGCATGACTAGAGGAAGTGACAGTGAAAACTATCAGCTTTGTCTGGTAGAGGTTGTGTCCTTCACCCTTCTGGGATTTGGCTGGCACCTTCACAGAGTGAGATTTTCACCTTCATGGGATTTGGTTTGGGGTTGGCCTGCTGCTGCCTGGAAGTGCAGTTTAGATAAGTACTTGATCAGTTCAGTGCCTGTTCTGTGCCCTGATGTGTGCTTTGCAATCAACTGGTGTTTAAGTTCTTTCTCTCAGCCCTGCAAGAGGAACTGCTGATATAACTGTCTTGGCTGATGAATGTACATATTCCCCCTGGCAGCCTTGAAGGGTGCCTTTTCTGCCTGTGTGGGTTTAGGTGACCCCATTGCTCTAATCTGTCCCTGTCAACAACTCTGCAGGTTTTCAGTACATGCTAATTTATTGTACTATTGTGAGCTCAATTCTGCTGGGTCTGAATGTGTCTCTACTGTAAGCATAGGCTGTTCTGGCTATGCCTTGTTTCTTCCTGGCTTGTGGGTGCTAGGTATGAGTTCCACTACCCTCAAAGAACTCTTGGTTGTCTGGGGACCTTTCTTGTC